CTACATTAATGTTCAGGTCAGTATCTTGATACTCCTCCACCGTTCCCAAGCCAAGCCAGAGGAACGGGGGAGCGGTGGGGATGAAAAGGCGAGGAAGCGCAATCATGTGCAGCAGACGGGGGCAGGAGAGGTAGTGAAGGAACGAGTCGGGGGAGTCGAGGCAGCCAAACCTGCATGGGAGAGGCGTGAGGATCTTCACCCGATGGCTCGTGATCCACGCTCCTGTGAGAGACTTCAGATGCGCCCACACCCTTGCTGGCGCTGACTTCATCAGCACAGCACGGAGGGCTAGCCATCTATCACGGGTGGAGGCTAAAGAGGGGCAGATCTCTGCTGGAAACCACGTGCTCAGCCGAGCGTGAATGCGTTCGTGGAATCGATCTGGATATACCAGCGCAGTGAGGCACTGGATGAAGACGCCTTGCGGCCGAGCTTTCTTCCTCCCACGACAACGACGATCCCGCCCAGGCCCGTCCCCCCCCGAGGGAGATGCAAGAGTGGCCTCGCGTGCAGCAGCACAGGCTCGGATCAATGGAGCAGGAGGAAAAGGGAGGTCACGGCAGGAAGTGAAGAGCCTATAATACTGGAGGATGCCTTTCTCATTCAGCCAGCATTCTGCCGACATCAATTGTTTGCGAACTCGCATGTGCAACCCATGAACATCAACACCCCCCCACCACCAGTCATAGCACTCCGCCCAGCCTCGAAGGGTGCACACACTAGCTCGCCATGCATTCGCAAGGGCATATACTCGGACGCTCGTGATGGTGGCTGCCTTGAGCCAATTCTTCATGCTCAGAAAATCATGCAAAGCGAAAGAGCTGGGTGGCATGCGCAACAGCTTGTGTAGTGCATAATATTCTTTCTTCAGAATTTCCGCACACAGTGGGAAGAATTGGGCCAGATATCCTAGGACTGACAACGCCGTGCACTCACACAGCCTAATCGATGCATCGCTCGGGGACCGACTGCTGGCAATCATTCGGACTCGGGTCCACCACTTCTGTCCCGCCTCGTGCCACTGAAGCGACAGTGTGGCGGCTGGTCCTATCAGAACGCCCAGGTATTTTGCGTATCCCGCAATCTTCACATCCGACCAGGCTGGTACTAGGTTCGCAATGATGGCAGCATATACAGTGATTTCTGCGACAGTGCATTCAACGGCTAGCGGTACGACTACACACTCCTGCATTTTGCCCCAGTGAGCGGCCTCGCGGGGATTCGAGCGAGCCCTACTAGCAGCTTCATCTTGCATTTTTTCATGACGGGTGGCATTCTGGCTAAGGACCTCATGTCTGAATTCTTCCTCACGTTGGAGTAAGACCCTTCTTCCGACAATCTGCAAAAACTTCTGGCCATACTCAGAGTCTTCCTGAAGTCTGGAGGCTGTGCGAACATCTTGGCGCCAGATAGCTCGTGCAATCGATCTGAGAGCCATGCATCTAGCTTCAGCCGTGAAAAATTATCCTGCTGCACTGCGTGTGTGGTTCTGGCCTAAGTCAGGATCCTTCATAAGCTCCCCACGCGTCACTGTGGCGGCAACGATCATATGTACTTTGAGGAGAGACCAGGCCTCAGGAGGAGGGAGGGATTCGTGTTCGAAGCCAGCCATACAGTTCGCGAGGATTTGCTTATACCGCGGGTGCTTGAAAATGAATGGCGGAATTTTCTGCTGGCCTTTCGGGGTCTGTCTCCTGGGCTTCAGGGTCAAAGATAAAATAGCGTGGTCACCCAACTGCCAGTCTGCCAACTCAGGCGCTTCTTGGATCAGATCCAGTGTCGTTTCAGTTTCGAGGAGAAAGTGGGGAGAGAGGGAGACGAAGGCACGGTCGATCGAGGAGAGAGAGGCGGAAGATCGGGAGAAGTGTGTCGGTAGATCCGTCGCGATCTCCGTCATCTGGCCTGGAAAAAGGGAACGCCAGAAAGCTTCGTGATGATTGGCCCTCCCCTCCAGGGAGAGACGCGCCTGGCGGGGCTCAGGAAACAGCAGCGAGTCGTTCGGCCTGTCGGACACGTTGAAGTCGCCGATCGCGATCGCCACCCGATGCATCTCGTCCATTCGTGCCCATGAAGCGTTGCCCTGCCAGCGTTGACGAAGTGTTGTCCTTTGGGTAGCACTTAATTCAAAGTTGTGAACGTTGATGATGCGAATCTCCATACTGGTTCTCGGATTCTTGATACTCAGGCTGTGTATTCTTCCTTCCGCAATGGTCTCTGGGTCAAACTTCGGGCGAAGATGTTCTGGCACTGCTGAAAGCTCTGCATCATTATACCATGGGACCAGGATTGCTGCACCACCAACACCAGGCCGTTGTCCCATAGTTGAGAACACTTTGTATTCGTATGGGTATTGACGAAGATAGTTGACCAGGGATTCATGAGTGCCATGCACCTCTTGAAGACATATCAACGCACGATGTTTCATAAGAGCCGCCAGCCTTGCTACTTTCCTTCTTCTTTTGGATGGGTTTCGGCAGATAAGGGCTGCGGCGTTCCACGAGATAATCTGGATCTGCTGCTCGCCAGGTTCCAGGTCCCATGGGCGCCATCTTCCGTCAGGAGCAAGACCATGATGATGTGTCCACTTCTTTAAACATGTGATAGAAAGCTTGATTGATGGCTTCCTTGTCCAGGGAATATTCAGCACACGCTTGCGGGTTCCACGCCAACTTTGATTGATCATTGGGTGCGTTCCCTGGCAATATCTCAACCACTGGGAGGCTTCCACAAAAAACCAGCCCCACAGATCTTTTTGCCCACCATTCACCATTTGGAGCAGCTCGTTGAAGAATGTGTTGGAGTTTCTTTGTTTGAACTTCTCTGCGTATTTGCTTGGCATTGCGATCTGGTCCAATGAAAATGTTTGTCTCATACCCATCCACTCCTGTAGCGTGAAATTTCCTCCAAGCACCAGTGCCATCCCTCTGGGCCCGAGTGAGGGCCTGTGCTCGTAGTACTCCTGCTTCTGCTCCTGGACAATGTAGCGCGAACTTTCTGCCTGGGGCGTCGCCTCCAATGATCTCGATGTGTTCTTTCCGTACATTTGCGATGTCCAACCATTCCGTGAGGCCTTCCATGAGAGCTGCCTTCGAGACCTCCGTCTCCGTGTTGATACTGAAGAGTCTTGGGTTCGTAGGTCGGTCCCAAGTGGCAAGCCGTGCAATATCGATTGACTCTGATGATGCTGCACTCTCTGCCATCGCGAGCGCCTGCTGCATGCGCTGGACCTCCGCACGTAAATTTCTCTGCTCCGTCTCCAAGCTGCGAGTATGGTCCTGGACGTTGCGGAGGTCCGATTCCACTGCCGAAACTCTTGCCATTGTCGGAGCCAATTGCGCCTGCATAGAACTGGTGATCGCCCCCTGTGCCTTCTCGAGCGCCGACGAGAGGGAGGTGTTGATGAAATCCTGGAGCTGTGTCTGGATGGCCGCGAACTGCGTGCCCATGACCGACTGGAGAACTTGTTCCATCTGCTGAGGTGCGGTTGGCGTAGCTGGGTCATCAGCTGCCGCCTGGGATGCTGCCTGGGGTGGGGTCGGCACTGGATGTGCCATGGCATGGGCCGCAGCAGCTGGCCCAAACTCCCCTGCGGCCATGCGTGCAACCGTTGCCCGTTCAGCAGCCGCACGGGTGGACTGCTCGTAGGTGCCTCGCTGGCGGCTCCCAGCCCAGGGGTCGCGGCCGTGAAGTGGGTCGCCTCCTGCCCGCTCCTGGGTTGGGAATGTGTTTGGAGCCCATTCTTCCAATTCTGCAGCTGGTGGCCGTGCGGCATCACGGCGAGTACGTTCACGATGATCATCACTGCGACTGCGATGCAGCGGACCTGCCGGCGATGTCGCTCCACGTTCCGCCCCGCCCTCCAGGCGAGCGCCTCCGCGTCGCGGCGGGACATGGCCACCATCCTGGGGCATAACCTCGAAAGATGTCAAGAGGTGCCCGAGTGTCTAAGAATGCGAGGGATGAAACCTCAATACTGGATGTGGCAGTGGATGTGCTTCTGAAAAAATCGTATCCTGAGCCGCCCGTGGGGTCGCTCACGATGTGGCAGTGTGGGCCGCGACTCCCACGAGCAAGCCGGAGCAAAACACTCCGGACTTGAGCCAAAATGGCTACGGAGGAGGAGGAGGAGGAGGAAGGGTATGAGGGGGCGAGGAGGCGGGAGGAGGGAGGAGATAGTAGGGAGGATCAGGAGGGGTCGACGAAGAATGGCCAGTCCCCCAGATTTCTTCCAGCACGACTTCTTGCAGCATGTGTCTGCTGCGGCCCCCGCAGTGGCCCACGAGGGCTCCAGAGGGGCCTTCCGGGCCGCGCGGGCCGCAGTTGGAGCGTCTCGGGGCCCCTCGTGCCGACTCGCAGCCAGCACTTGGGCTCGAGCCGCACGCTCTCGGCGCTCGTGCTTCTTGCGGGGGGGGAGGCTCCCGCTTCCGCTCGCCCTGGCACTCTCTCACATGTCTGCTTCGTCGCTGACTCACTTCCGCCACACTTCCAGCAGGGAGGAGGCGCGCCTCTCTCCCCACATGCACCCTCCTCCTGCTCCCACTTCCCTCCTTCCCCTCCGCGCCATTCCCCTCCTCCCCCTCCTTCCCCTCCTCCTCGTCCTCCTCCTCCTCCTCCTCCCCCTCCCCCCGCCTTCTCGTCCTCCTCCTTCCCTTCTTCCTCCTCCTCCTCGTCCTTATACATAACTCCCCCCTGTTCAGCTCAGGATGTGTCCATGTCCCCTGCCGCAGGGTGGTGGATGTGGGTTTCTAGGAGCGTACAAGGTGGGCGTCCAAGAGGAGGATTCGCTAATCATAGTCCGAGGCATGTGCGCGGCCCGGGGATCCCCAATGGGACGCATTGAAATACCTTACACCTGGGGACCTCCGCACGAGTCATCACCCCACTCTCGGCCTCTCGGACGACCCCGATGGACGTGGGATTGCATGCCCGCCCACGCGGCCGGGCACGCCCTCAACGCCCATCATCCCGGGACCCCACGCTGTGGGTCGCGCGCAGCGGTCCTCGAGCTGCTCGACGTTGATGGTCCTGGCAGGGGCTCCGCGCGTGAGCCCCCTCTCGTCCGACTCTCCCTCCGTGTCTCTCGTCCCCTCCACTGTCCGCATCCTCCGTCTTCCTCCTCCACCTCTGCTATACCCCTCCTCCTCCGCCTTCTCCTCCGCGATCACTCTCCTCGATCCTCCTCATCCTCCTCCTCGTCCACGATTCCCCTCCTCTATCCTCTATCCTCCTCCTCCTCCTCCTCCTCTTCCTCCTCCTCCTCCTCCTCGGCCTTCTCCTCTGCTCATCCTCCTTTCCCTCTGCTTCTCCTCCTCCCCCTCCTCCTCCTCCTCCTCGTCCTCCTCCCCCATCCTCTTCCTCCTCATCCTCCTCAGGTTCCTCCTGTCTCCTCCACCGCTCCACCGTCCTCCTCCTCCGTCCTCCTCCACCTCCGTCCTCCTCCTCCTCCTCCTGCTCCTCCTCCTCCTGATCCTCCTCCTCCTGCTCCTCCTCCTCCTCCTCCTCTCCTCCTCCTCCTCCTTCTGCTCTATCCTCCCCCGCTCTCCACCTCGGTCCTCGTCCTCGGTCCTCCTCGGTCCTCCCCTCCTCCTCCTCCTCCTCCTCCTCCTCATCATCATCATCCCCCTCCTCCTCCTCCCCCTCCTCCTCCTCCTCCTCCTCTTTTCCTCTTCCTTCTAAACAAGTGATCCCTGTCACACCCCCCGACGTGTCGGTAGAGCAGACCGGGCGTTTCACCTGAGAAATCCTCACCACAAGTGATACTGCAGCTTTTCACAGATAGAGAGCGGACTGGGGAAGCGCCTGTCCTCAACTGGAGGCCTCGCCACCGAACCAAAAATCTTCGCAAACGTGGATGTGGCTGGCGCGGAGGCGACAGCAACGTTCGCAATCAAGGATGCGGCCGGCGCTGAGGCGAGAACAACTTTCGCAATCGTGGGTGTGGCTGGCGCTGGGGCGAGAAACATTTCCGCAATCGTGGATGTTGCCGGCGCCGAGGCGAAAGCAACAATCGCAATCATGGGTGCGGCTGGCGACAAGGCGAGATTGACGTTCATAATCATGGATGAGATTGACGCTGAAGCGACAGCAGCCGTCGTAGTCGTGGATGTGGCTGGCGCTGAGGCGAGGGTGACCTCCGCAATAACGAGTATAACGAATAATGTGACCTCCGCAATAACGAGGCGAGAGCAACGTTCGCGATCATTGATGTGGCCAGCGCAGAAGCGTAAGCAGAATTCGCAATCATGGATGTGCCCCGTGCTGCGACGACAGCAACATTCGCAATCATGGATGAGGCTAGGGTGAACGCCAACACAGAGTCGATATAGTGGATGTGGTCAATGGCGAGGCGGGAGCATCCGTCGTAATCGTGCGCGGGATGTCCCACTGCACACGCGCACTGGCATTAGCGCAACCAGCAACCCGCAGTACGTGCCAAAATCATTGATTGTCCTTAGGTGTTTGAAGGAGTTTGGCATGTGCTTTCGATCTTCCGACGGCCCGAGACGGCCCAAGAGCCCACAACGATCGCCCCAAGATCGCCCACGAGGCCTTCCAAGATGGCCCCAGAACAGCCCAAGAGACCCCGAAGCCGGCCCCAAGAGAGCCCCAAGACGACCCAAGAGCCCTCCAAGACGCCCAACATGGCCTCCAAGACGGCCCTGGAGCACCCCAAGAGGGCAGCAAGTCGGTCCAGAGGGGCCCCCAAGGCGGCTTCCGACGGCGTCCGACGGGACAGGCATGCCCTACGCAAGACGACCAAAGAGGCCCCCGAGAAGCCCCCAAAGGCCCCCAAGAGGCCCAAGGAAGCCTCCAAGACGCCTCCAAAAGGCTGCCAGGAAGCTCCAAGAAGGCCCAAAGAGAGCCCCAGGCGGCTCCGAAGATGCCCCCTCCTTCTCCTTTTCCTGATCTTCCCCGCCATCCTTCCCCAAGTGTTCCCCGAAGGTTTCTACAACGGCTGGAGGAGCAGATGGCCCGATAGCTTGGCAGAGCTCTTGCCACAACACTCGGCCACATGGGCGATTCCAAAAGGCAGCGGGCGTCGGTGATTCGCCGTGGGCGTCTTCGATCACGCCAACGTCTCGATATGCGCTGGTGATTCCTATCCGCCCCCGCATGATGTTCCCAGATGTGCCAAGGCAGCGCCAAGACGCACCGACGCGACTCTGAGATATCACATTATGATAGAGAGGGGCCGGCGACAGGGGGCGACTGATACATATGTATTATGATAGAAAGGGGGGCCGGCGGCAGGGGGCGACTGATAAATATGCATATGCATAAAAAGAGAGGTACATATGCATGCATGCATATACATACATACAAACAGACATGCATACATACATACAGACATACAGACATACAGACATACAGACATACAGACATGCAGACATTCAGACATACAGACATACAGACATACAGACATACATGCATGCATGCATGCATACATCCATACATGCATACCTGCATACATGCATACATGCATACATACCTACATACATACCTGCATGCATGCATGCATGCATGCATGCATAGATACATACATACAGACAGACATGCATGCATGCATACATACATACATGCATACATGATGTTCTGTTGCGTCCAACTCAACGAAATCAGACCAAGGTGGATAACAGGGCCCGCCCTTAGCATACATTAGAAGCGACTCGTGTAAAACAAATGCATTGATACATGCATACATGTGTGCATACATACATGTCTAAACCATCGCGCGCGCTTCGCGCGCGCTCAGGTTCTAGCAGGCCCCAGACCTTGACGAATTCATTGCTACACTGGGCGGAGGCCGTATGAATCGGGTTCCCAGAAGGCCTTCTGGGAGCATGGGTTTGGGGGCGTCTTGGGGAGCCTGTTGGGGCGTGCCGTCGTCGTCGTCGTAATTTCGTCGTCGCCTATTGGGGCGCACCGTCGTCGTCGTCGTCGCCGTCGTCGTCGTCTTCGTCGTTTGGTCGTCGTCGTCGTCGTCGGCTCAAGAGGGCACTTGGGGCAACTTTGTGCGAAACGATCTGCGGAGGGCCGCGAGAAGGCGATCAGTCATGTTCCCGATCAACTTCCCAGACAGCTCTCCTGTAGCATGATGGTACTTCGAAGCCTCCAGAGACTCGCGGGCCCATGATGAACCATGTCGCTGGAAGGCTTTCTGGGGACATGGTTTGTTGGGGTGTGTTGGGGGGTCTCTTGGGCGTTCCCTGGGGGCCTGTGATTTCTGAAGATTTCCAGAGGACTTGCCCTGGGAGTCTAGGAAGTTGCAAGCGACTAACATGCGTGTATGCAGCGCCGGCGCTTGGGCTCGAGCAATAAAGGCGGCTTCCCTCCCCCACAGCAGCAGCAGCGGGGTAGAGGAGCCATAGAGGTTTCGGCAGAGTTGACAGAGTTCGAGCTGGGACGAACCTCGCCGACACAGAGGATCGAGCGAGGGAGAGCTCCAGCCAGAACGAGGCTGGTAGTGGAGCCTGTGGTTGGCCCCACAGCTCCATAGGACGAACATAGAGGAGATCGAGACTAGCCATCTCGGAGACTACGAACACGGAGTTCCTCGAGGAGCAGCGCTTCGCCAAGAGTAGCTTCAGGGAGCTGCCGAAGGCGTTCGATGCATTCTTCGACCAGACTCACTTCGAGAAGAAGGGCGAAGAGCCGATGGCGGCGTTTTGCACGGCGATGGAGGTGGCGAAGCGCAATCTCGAGGAAGTGGACCCAGACACGAAGATCAGTGCGAACGAGCTAGGGCACCATACGCTGAAGAGAAGCGGACTGGACAAGGACGAGCGCAATCTAGTGATAGCACGTGCAGATGAAACCTTCAACTTCCAGAAGATTAGCACGACGCTGAAGAACCTCTTCCCACGAGGCGGAGGTCGCCACCGGGATCGACAGGGATCGAGAACGAGCTGGCGATGGGCAAACTATAACGACGGCGAGCGCGACCCGGAGGACGAGGACCAGAACGTCGAGCACGACGGGTACTGGGTCCAGGACGACGACGGCTACTGGTACGATCGGGATGAAGAGCACGGTGTCTACGCGTTCGCGGAGGACGGCGACGACAACTGGGACAGCAGCGACCTGTTCTACATCGAGGACGACACCGACGTGTACCTCGCGAGCGAGGACGACGAGTACCAGCAGGCCCTCGTCACGCTGCGCGAGAGCAGGCTGAAGATGAACAAGATCTGGGCGGCTCGAGGTTTCTTCAAGGGACGAATCGATAGAGTAGTGGACGAGAGCGCGGCGGCCGGTGACAAGGCAGCCGGGAAAGGAGGCAAAGGCGGCAAGGGCAAGGACGGTGGCAAAGGCAAGTCCAAGGACAAGAGGTGCACCAGCTGCGGAAGAATGGACCATGCTGCACCAGACTGCCCGACGCCACGACCTCCGAGGCCGGCAGGCAAAGACTTCAAGGGCCGCGGCAAGACCTCGAAGGCTCAATCACGTCCACGACGGCTGGGTTTCTGGGCGATGACCACACTGGTGTGCGTCATGCCGGACATGTTCCACCAGAAGGACGCCCAGGACCTGGAGTCCGCGACGGAGAAGTTCCAGGAGCCAGCCGAGCACGACATCATGATGGTCAAAGTGGAGAGCGGCCCGATCCTACCGGAAGTGCCAGAAGTGGACGCGATGATCTCGAGCACGATCGTGCCAGCTACCCTGGTGGACAGCGGCGCCTCCGTGGCGGTGGCAGGGCGCGGCTGGCTGGATAAGATCGCTGCGGAGCTCGAGAAGCACGGTCTGAGGCCCATCATCGTCGAGGCGAGCCAGAAGTTCAAGGGACTTGGCGGCGCTCGACGTGAGGCGAAGCAGAAGTGGATCATCCCGATCGGTATTGGCAAGAAGCATGTCCTGCAGGAGTATTTCGAGATCCCTGGCGACATGATTGGCTTGACGAGCAAGAAGAACCTGGCAGACTGGAAGACGAACCTCTACCTGCGCGAGGACGGCCAGTGGGCCGACTTCCAGGAGCTCGGGGTGTACGACAAGGAGCTCGTGAAGCTTCCCGGTGGCCACGCGGG